AAGTGAGAAAGAGTGTGAATACTTTTGCAAAGTACAGTTTGAAGTCTGTAGTTCAGGATATTAAATATATTAACTGTTTACTGTTCTGTTTAAATTTCTAAAAGTGTGAAGATTTGGAAGCAGAATATTTTTCTTTTCCTTCGGCTAAACATTTCTACGTTAAGCTGCGAGGCGGATTCAGAGTGTAAGAGCGCAGCTACTGTATGAAGACATATTTTATGGATTCCTCTTTAAGTTTTCAAGGCACAATCAGCTGTTAAAGAAAATGCAGAGTAGAGATAAATATTCCGCCGTAATTTGGCGCCCCCTCTAGAGGCGCCCCTGTGCGTCGCCTTTTGCGCCGCTGTCACCGCCATCACCCCCAACAATCTTCTTCATTCAGTCATGAAAAGTTTCTCTCTAGTCGTGCAGGTTCCCCTTGCGCTGCTTCTCTTTTCATCTTCCTCATTCTGCGTGTTAAAAGGGTCAGATACGAATCTAGATAAATCGATTGTCTTCCCTACAGAAACTCCCCAAACCGACCAGTTTTCCCAGTAACTGCCCTCTGATGACACAATTACCATCAGAGGCGAAGGGGCTGCACTCATAAACAGTCTGCAGCTGATTAGATTTCTCCCGTAAATCACTTAATCTCATTTGTCCCAATAGCTGTTGTCTCCTTTCCATCTGTCTGCTTTCGCGGATCCCTTATTAGATTATTGTTTATCAACAGAAACATTTTCATTACAGCCAGACTCATGTTACGCGTCTTTTAAAAGCACCACTTTTACGTCAAATTGTTTTAATTTAGTGTCTGCTTTCTCTCAAACACCCAGTCAAGCTCACATGTTTGAGTGCGGCCCAAACCGGAAGTTTTGTGTTCTTCCAAAGTAAAAGGCTCAACATGATGCAAATTTCATTTTGTTTGTAGAACTGTATATATTTGGAACAGTATATATATTTAGGTTTTGGTAATAATTGCATTTAAAAAAAAAAGATGTACTACCAACTTTTTCCAACGTTTGTAGTTTTACTAAATCTGATTGCATCAATAGTAATAGCTTTCGAAAATGTTATTATTTTTATTTTATTTTTTACCGTTTTTACTTCACTTATGTTATTCAACACTCATTTTTCACTTGCATGTCCTTAGATTCTCCAAACTGTAAAAATAAAACTGTTTGAACTTGATGGATACTCAAATTATTACGTTGGAATAATTGGAATAAATTTGTTCTAAGTTGTAAGAAAATTGATATTATGAAGATAATTTTCTAGACATTAATTTTAAGATATTTCTGTCCATTTAAAAATGTATGCAGGTATCATAAATCAAAATAACTAAAATAAAAAACAGAATAAAACAATGCAATGTCTGGTAATTCTAGAAAAAAAATTATGATTTTTTTTTTTATTATTATCATGTTTCTGTCACGCACAGTAAACCATTAGCAATCTTTCACCCAGACTTTTTGACAGTTGAGTATACTACTACTACTACTACGAATAATAATTATAATAAAATAGTTAAACCTGAAAAAAAGACAAAATAAAAACACTGCAACAAATTGTTGTACGGAGGGCAGATCCTGCCATAATCAGCAGGAACACAATAATTACATGTTGTGTAATATAAAAGGGCAAATACTTCTTTTGCCCTTTTTCCTTTAACTTTTACAAAGAGTAAAAGGGGAAAAGAAAACATTATAGGAAAAATAAAAAAGAAATCTGTAAATAATTGAACAAAGGAGAAAATATAAAGTGAGAAAATACAAAGAGGAAATGTTAGAGGAGAAAATAAATAAATAAAAAAGTGGCAGTAAAATAAAATAAAAAAACAGAATGAGGAAAAATTATAAATAAAAACATGATAGTAAATACAAAATGTGTTAAATGCAAAATATAAAAAAACTGAGAACAAGTAAACAAGGAAGCTAAGAAAATAATATTGGAAATAAAATAATATTTCTAATGTTATAATGTATAATTAATCATGTTGAAAATTAAAAATTAGTGTTGATTCATATGTAACCAAATTAGTTGGAAAAAGTTATTTATTTATTTTTTGGAAGTGATTTCTGGCACTTCATCAAACCTTTTATTTATCTCTATATGTATTACCAATTTTGACAGAATCCATCCTCCATAAATTTGTACGCAACTTCAAAATAAAACTATATTCGTGCTGAAGACTCGCGGTTCGGGTTTGTCGTTGCTTCATTTTATAGAGATCCATAACCGGAAGTGTCGTTTCCAGCTTGACGGCGCTGAAAGGCTGCCAAACAGAGGCTGACTGATGCTGCCCGCTGCGGTCTCCCTCAATGAGCCGAGGCCGAGCTGAACTTTCACATCTCCTCCTCCGCCGTCTGGGTCCATAGAACCGAACCCGAAAAAACGCTTCTTTTTTTTCCTCAGATGCTCCACAGCCATTTTAAACTGAGCATCCCTCTGTGGGAGATCTGAAATAATAATAATATTACTAATAAAAAAAAATTAAATAAAATCCCTCCGGGTCTGCGGGAGGAGCGGGTCTGAACTGAGGAGATGCCTGACGGGTGGCTCGGTTCTTCTGGGCATCCCGAGCATCGATTAGCGGAGAAATGCTGAAGTTTAGCGGCAGCTCGGTGGTCGCGGCGCTGCTCATCGCGGTGGTTTTCGGCGCTTTCTTCTTCTGCGAGTATCTCATCTACTTCCCGACCATCCTCAAGTGCGCCTGGCCGAAGCTGAGCCGTGCCCGGGGCGGAGAGGGCACCGACGGGCGGCCGGCGGACGCAGCGGTCCGCGCCATGGTGCTTTCGGACACCCACCTCCTCGGAGCGGTGGGGGGACACTGGTTCGACAAGCTCAGGAGGTAATCTCTCCATTTTACCCATCCATTTTAAACACCAGTAAGGTGAGGTGAGGTGAGGCAATAAAAGGAAAAGCCAAAAAATGACAGCGGGGTTGTTTCCAAACGCAGGGAATGGCAGATGGAGCGGGCTTTCCAGACCGCGCTGTGGCTGCTCAAGCCCGAAATAGTCTTTATTCTCGGGGATATCTTCGACGAAGGCAAGTGGAGCTCCCAGAAGGTAACAGAGCTCCATGTTTTCCCTCCTAATGCAGCTGCACTGCTTTTGGATTATCCTAACCATGCTTGGAAATAATAATAATAGAGGAAATAAACTGTGCATGATGTGGATTTAGAGGGTTCTGATCAGATTCTGGTTCTGTTTGGGCCCACAGACCGCAGGGTCTGATGTAAACATCTGCAGCCTCCATCCATCTCTCCACACAATGCTCCATTTATTTCACTGATGCACTGATTTTGGCAGGTCAGCGATTACCGATCTTTAAAAATCCTGACCTGCCGATTCTGATTTTGGCCTTTACCAATTTTGTCTGAAATGTTACAAGATATAGCAAGAAAGTCCCTGAATTGGCAACACCGAGGTGCCTATTGTTAACTGCAAACGAGCAGAAATGACCCGGTGGGCCGGCCTGTCAGCCAAATCTCTCTCACAGGAGAGCAGAAAAGGACAGTGGATGATTTTTAGACCTTTGCTGAGGTGGATCAGGTCCGAAAATTGAGGAAATTGGTGCCGATTGGCCAATAAATTGTCTGGCTCATAAATCGGAGCACCCCAAATTTATTTCACTCACGCTGTAAAAATCATGGAATCTGAGAATATGATGAAATATAACCATTAAGTTTGAGCAGTTTGCCAAACACAAATAGAAAAATGTACAACAATCGCTCCTATTGTCATTTCTAGACCCGGCTGCAGCTCTACTTCCTCAGTGTTTGTTGAATCCTAAAGAAATGTTCCGACTTTCTGACGATTGTTTAGATTAAATTAGGGCCCGGTCTGTCAGTCAAACCTTTCTCACCAGAGAGCAAATGGTTGATTCTTAGACCTTTGCCAAGCTATTTAGGATCGGCTTCACATGTAAAAATCGGCCGATCGCCAATCTCCCAATATTAAGGAAATCGGCACCGTTAAATCGGCTGGCCGATAAATCAGTGCGCCTAATAACAAATGAAATATTAATCAACATTATGATGTGCAACGACGGCACTTGACAAAATGTAATGTCTGAACTGTGTTTCTATGACTTTGTATTATTATTATGCTGTTTGAAATGTCTTGCTGCTGAAATGTGCTCTACACATAAACACATAAACTGATTGACTTGAAATAAAAAAATTTTCAGGGTTATAAATATCCTTTCGCTGCTAAACCTCCTCACGTGTTAATAGTTTCAGCTCTAATAGAAAAGCAGCATCTGAGGGCCAATTAGAGCCTCATCATAGAAAACTTTAAACCCCTGAAGTAATTAATGGCCTCTGGCGGGGCGCCGCGGCTCGGAGCAGCCACCTCGGCCTTCCCTGGAGATCCCATTAGGACTCCTGAATGGCTCAGGTGAATTTCTGAAACCTTCTCTCTCCGTTTCTCTCTGCAGCACTGGGAGGACGACGTGCGCCGCTTCCACAGGATGTTCAGGCACTCCTCGGACACAGAACTGGTCGTACTGGTCGGCAATCACGACATCGGGTTCCATTATGAGTAAGCACGCAACGCCTCTCCGCTTTTGCTCCTTTTGTGTAAAAATAAAACAACGGTTGACCTTTCAGAGGCGGGACGCTGCTGAAAATCCTGATGAATTAAACCCTGAGATTAGAGCTCACACTCCCTGAGCATACTGATTTTATTTTTACTGCCGTCACTGTTAAACACAAAATCTTACCAAATATTTCCTGTCTGGTTTTAATGCAAATATTTTTTTGTGAACACATTTGAGACATTTGTTTTGAATAAACTGAATTAAATATCTTAGTACACTTGAAATATGACAAAGCTAACTTACAAGAAACAGGAGGTTGTTCTAAGCCACTAATTCCTGAACACTGATAAAAGGTTCTAGTTTCACTGGCAGATTATGTCACTTCTAATTTGGGAAAAATGTTTTATAATAAGTGAAATAATCTGCCAGTGGAACCAGAACTTTGTATCAATATTCAGGAATAACTGGCCTAAAACAAGCTCATATTTCTTGCTGAAAAGTTACAATAAAGTTAGTTTTGTCGTATTTCCAGTGTACTAATATATTTCCACTATAAACTAGACCAAAATAGTTGGATACATTCTGTGTTTTTGCAGTGCTGCTTCCAGAAATAGCTCCCAGGAGTATCAGCGAAATCTTCTCTGCTGCAGAGCCGGAAAAACAAAAGGAGACGAGTTTGTCCACATTACATAAATGTTTCAGAAATGTTTGAGGTGTGAACCAATCGGAACGAGTTTAGTTAGATAATGCCAGAGTTATGTGTAGTAAATGCTGTCAGGAATGAGAACACACTGCAAAAACACAAAATGTAACTTAGTATTTTTGTCTAGTTTCTAGTGCAAATATCTTAGTACACTTAAAAAGAGACAAAACTATATTATAAGTAACATTTCAGCAAGATAAATTAGCTTTTTAAAGAAATAATTCTAAAAAAATCATTCTGGGAGATTATTTAACTTATTTTCCCATGTTACAAGTGAAAATTTAGCAATATTAAGAAATTATTGACTTAAAACAAGCTCCTATATTTATTGAAAAATTATTTGTAAGTTAGTTTTGTATTATTTCAAGTGTATTAAGATATTTGCACGAGAAACTAGAACATTAAATACTTGTGTTAGATTTTGTGTTTTTGCAGTGCACACAGTCTGAACTGTTTGGAAAACACAAAAGGCTTCATTGACTGAGGTTTCCTTACCATCAGCCCTCTGCACACCACCCTGCTGCACAAAGGTGAACCAAACACGGACTACTGCACCACTGCAAAACTGCAGAGTCTCGTTTTAGGAAGACACCCGGTTGTTTTTTTTAAAGTAACACAGATAGATATATAAATGTTGAGTATTATCACATGCTGTCCAGATCCATATTTTATTGGGATTTTGTGTGGTGGATAAACAGGCAGTAATGCATAATTGTGATGCGGAAGGAAAATGAGACATGATTTTCAAAATATCAAGTGTTTACATTCAGCCTGATCTTAGTCAATACTTTGTAAAAATGACTTTTTGCTTCAGTTACAAATCAAAGTCCTTTGGGAAATGCACCAGTTCTGCACCTCTACAGACTAACTTTCTTTAAAGAATTTCACTCTTTACATTTAAAAGCAAGTTTTTCATAATATAACTCAATGTGATATATATATATATATATAAATATAATGTAAAATAAATTAATGTTCTGAAATGTTTGTACTCTGGCAGCAAACTAAAGAAGAAAGTATTTATTTTTTATTCCTGTGGAAACTTTTAAACAGCAGCAGCGCCGCAGCTCTTAGTGGTTCTAGTTCATTTTTGATGTTCGAGACTTGCGCTACGTTTCAGAGATGTTGCATTCATTGTTTTTGCAGAAGGGAAGTGACACACGGTGCAGAAAATAATCTCGCAGTTAAATTTTTGATGCATGTGCTTCAGAGATGTGGGATTATGTCGACATGCGGCTGCTCTTACGGGCTTTGATTCAATCCGTGCAGCAGGGAGTGGAACTGGCACAGCCCTTATGTAACAGTGCATGACGTGCCGGGCTGAGCAGCAGCTTTTTAACCCTCACTGTTTGCGTTGTTGTGTTGTGTTTCCCCTGCAGGATGGACTGGTTCAAGCTGCAGCGCTTTGAGAAGGTCTTCAACGCCTCCTCCACCAGGATTGTTACCAAAAAGGGAGTCAAGTGAGTGACAGGAAGTAGAAAAGCATAAAATGCTGCAGCCATCAGTTAGGCTTCTTCACAAGAAAAAAATACACAATATTATTTAGTTTCTAGTAAAAGTCACTCTACACCTATTGTAAAAGTTCTCAGACTTTTCCTCCCTATTTTAAGAGATGGATTTTTTAATAAAGGGGGGTTCTGTTGAGATGCTATGAGCGGTTAGTAGCTTACCCAGTTTTATTTCTCTCTAAATACATTTAAGTATTTTTTACAGGGGACTTTTTCTGTATTAAAATACAATACATTTAGCCCTGACTGATACATTGTGATAAACGATAATATTGTTGTTTTAAGACCATTTTCAAGTAAAAATGTAATAATAATGGTAATGGCATAATGATGGAAGAACAGATTCTTAAAGATCAATAAACTTTAAATTCTAAAGAACCATGAGCACATTAGCAACTGGAAGACATTTTAAGTATCCGAAATAAATAAACAACAACAGAAATAACAAATGGAAAGAATCATAGTCTCTGTAAATATAAAAAAACAGGCTGGTTGAGGCCAAAGCACCAGATTGAAGATTTTTGTCGTCCAACTTTTGGTGGAAAGTGAAAAACAATAAATCATGCAAATGGAAATCACTGTTTAAATTTGTCATGCAATTAATTAATTGGTTTATTACTCATTACAACAGTGCCAGTTTAGATTGACTAACACAATAATTTTGATTAATTAATAACAAAGATTCTAACACGTTACAAATTTTAAGTCATTTAATCAATCTGGCTTTTATTTTATTATTTTTTACACAAAAGTCCTGAGCTGGAACCTTTGTGTTTCTTATTGTGTTTCTGGTTCGCCTGTAAACCTGACGCACAAGTGACATCTATAAGCAAGAGCAATGACCGACAAAGCCATTTCTCTTGGCCCACCAGAGGTTAAAGTTCCCTTCATAAAACAATCTAATGCTTGAAAAGTCTGTTGTTGTGCTCAAATTGTGCTAAAAGGAGTTAGCCAATCACTGAAGCTACTCAAGCCTAAAATAGCATCTCATTGCTAAACATGTTGCAGTAGCACCAATGTCTCCAGTGCTAATGTCAGCATCCAGATGTCCAAGTATTTTTTCATAGAAGTTGCATGAATGATCAGATTTTCTGAAATACTTTGCACCAATCTAATGGTTCAATAACATAAATAACTGATTAAAATAAATAAATGTTGTTGAGCTCATATGTCTATTTATTCAATAATTTAGCATAAAAATCTTTTGCTTATTTTGTCAGCCATCATCATATTCAATAAATCTGAATTAATACAACATTTAATTTCCTTTTGGGATTGATAAAGTATTTTTGAATTGTGGTCGCAGGTGTAGTTTGGAGACGTTTTATCATCTGCCAGTTAATCTGTGCCAGCTTTCAGCAGCCATCCTGGGATCTTATCGGGAATTAGCGCTTTCCCAGGATTGATCCTGTCGAGTCTTGGCCGACTTTAGCGATAAAAGCTGAAAGGTCGGATGGTGGAGGAGAACCAAATCTCTCCCTATAGCTGCTGGATTTGATGCTTCGAATAAAGAGATGCTGAGCCGATCTGGAAGAGAAACTTCACTCTCCTCTGCCCTCTGTGGGGTTTTCCTCTGCCAGGCTCACCTGCTCTCCGCTGTGTTTTTGCTGCGTCGGTGCGTTTTGCAATCCTGATCCCCGTTAAAAGTGCAGACGCTGCCATGTTGTCCAAGCGCTGCCCTGCAGGCTGCATCACCTCTGTGGTCGTCAAAGGCTTATAGCAGCGCTTATACTACCTGCAGTTAACTTTTTTAGATTCGTTTGAATAAATTAGGAAGGTGTATTGATTCAAACTTAACTTTATGTTGAAAGGTTTCTCAGGTTTGTGTTGTAAAGCTTCTCCACCAGACAGATGGAGCTGCTGCTGCTGCTGCAGCTGCAACTGGAATCAATGATTTCTCAACAATGTGTGAAAGGCAGCGTGTAAATGAATGCGTCAGGGAGAAAATGGGTCATTTATTCTGACAGGATTGTTACTGTTCACCATTCTGGAAAATATAGAGTCTGGAAAATGATGGAAGTTCATGGAGAGATTTCCAGGTTTGGATTAGAAAAAATAGATTATTAGAAAAATAGTGGTGATTAAAGACTCTAATCCTTCACATACATGTTGATCCATCCATCCATCCATCCATACATCCATCCATCCATCCAGTTTGAACAGAACTAAGAACTGAGTTAAAGTATGTGTGATAATTTACCACGAGTCTAAACTTTACTTAAAATCTGCAGTACCTTAAAAGAAAAACAACTGAAAAACATTTCCCCATGAGGTTAGAAATCCGCACCTGCAGGTAAATTAGCAATAAAAATCTGTGCATGCTCCCCTCCTGTTTGCAGCTTCTTGCTGGTGAACAGCGTGGCGCTGCATGGCGACGGCTGCCCCATCTGCCAGTCGGTGGAAAAGGACCTGATCAAACTCTCCAGAGACCTCAACTGCTCGCTTCAGGTGGGAGCAGGTTTCTGCCAGCTCTCTGCACCAGAGTTGGGTAGTAACTAGTTACATTTACTCAATTACATTTACTTGAGTAATTTTTTTGGGGAAAAAACCCCCAAAAACTTTTAGGAGTATTTATAGTACCGGTGTACTTTTTAATTTCACTTGAGTAACTTTATTATGAAGTATTTCTACTCTTACTTGAGTAAAATTTATGGGTTTTCTACCCACTGAATGAAAAACAAAAATGTTTTAATCAAATGTTCTCCAGACATATTTTGTTAAAACATAACCAAATATTAAACAAACATGTAGTTTTTGTTAAAGTTAAAAAAAATGTAAAGAGAAATAATACCCTTGTTTTGATACTTTATATGGACATAATCAGGCACGTGCAGAAGGGGGGTCTGGAGGGGGCTTGAGCACCTGCCCCTTTTGGTCAATTTTTTATTTTTTTTTTGTACTATTTTCTAAGCCCTCTTCTGACACATAATACATGTACTAAAATAATTTGCTTTTTGTTGGTTTTTTTATTTTTTATACAACATAATAAGCCCCCCGGTCATCTTGTTACCTTTGACCTTTTGCCTGTGACGCATGACGCAGTTGCCTCTCACGCAGTGAGATAAGGCGGCTAACTGGAGCTGAATATGGCAATACTTTCCTATAACAAAATAAACCTGCAGAAAGAAATCACTAATAAAATATCTTACATATGCATAGTTGCTCTATATAGAGATTTTCCTTAGCTTTGATTGTATATCTCACAATTTTGTAAATTATCATTGTTTATTAAGCTCTGAAAGCTGTGTGGCTTTGTTAATATTCTGTCCTAGAATGCGTTAGATGTGCCCTTTTTTTTGAGCACCTGTCCCTTTAGTGGTCTCTACACGACAAAATGAATTAATCAACTTACAATTAACCATTGATTGAAAATGTTCCAAGATTAAAGCTTAGTTGACAGGCAGAATTTTTTTTGTCCCTGTTACGAATTAGGACACCCTGATTATTGGGATGACTTACAAAATAATCCTAACCGATAATCCTGTCGTTTGTGGTGTTAAGAGTGTTCTGGTCCTCTCGAAAGGACTTCCATCTAAAATCGGTGACATTCACAAACATTATTGGATTGTCTTGGTCCGATGTCGCACTAAACTGGAACTACGAACTGGAACGCAACCTGTTGAATGTGACAGGTAGCCAATCAGAGCGCGGTGACGTAAGCACGTAGGTGAAGCCAAAACAAGAACATGGCGTAACCGAAAGTCCTGCGGATATCGAAGATGGAGGACCGACTCGTTGATATGTGGCAACAACGGGAATGTTTGTTGAACATTTCGTGTAAGGCATATCACAACCAAAATGAAAAGGAGAAGAGTCTGAAGGAAACTGCTACCACCCGGTAACTTTTCAGCTACCAATTATAAGTTAGTTTTAACAATAACGTTTATTCACTGCAAATATTTCATAACATCAAAGCAGCAACAACTTAAAATCATATAATCAACCGGTGAAGCTAAATGAAACGACAGAACAAAAAAAAAACAACCTAAACACATTGCAACACAAGTTAAAAAAATTAAACTCACCTCCTTATCATAGCGCAGCAGTACTTTAACACTTTTTCTTTCTGTGACGTCTTTAATCGCTTAAGAGAACTCCACTATCACCACTGTCTCTAAATCGTCTGCCATGTTTGTTTACTCTTAATTCCCGTACGATATCGCGGGGTTCTTCTTCTTCTTTGATATCGCGGGGTTTTACGGGATTTCCTATCTTAAATCTTAATATTCTTGAGTGAATGCAGTTCACAGAATGCGACCAAAACTAAGATATTTTTTATAACATGTGTGGTATCTCAAGTTTTGAAAATCGGCCAACAATTTTTAAAACCTGCCGTGTGACATAAGTCCTTCGTTTAGAGTTGTATTTGACCTCCATCCAGCTTAGGGCGCCACTGGTCACCCTTCAGCGAAACCGTTGATACAGAAACAAAGATGGCGGCCAGAACAGAACGGGAAAGAGAAACGGTTAAACCAAAAGTCCGGTGTGGGATGTGAAATGCACTTTATGTGGTTCTAGTTTGAAATATAAGCACTCGTTAGCTCCTTACGTTTCACCTTAAATAGATAGCGCTCATTCAGCGTAAACAATTAAACATTATTAATGGGACTTCATGGCGCGAAGTTTTAATATTTCTTCAAGAGCAACCATAGATGGTACATCTATGAACATCTGTTTATTGGGAATTAAGTGTTTTACATATTTTATTCTTAACATTTTTCATTTTTCTGCCCAGCAACATAGTCAATCAGAGGTAAAAACAGTCCCTGTGTATTTACTCCTGTGCAGAAGTCGCAGTCTGACGGTGAAGAGACAGAGAACTGTGAGGGCTCCCAGTTCTATCCTCCCACCGCCCCCATCATGCTGCAGGTAAACCGGGATAAAATCTGAAGCCGCTCCGCTCAGTCCAACATTTTAAAATCTATTTTATGTGGCCAACAAAGATTATAAGAGTTGGATAAATCTACCCTTTATGGAGGAGTGTAAGGCTGCAACTAACGATTATTAATAATTAATAATTATTATTAATCAGATTTTAAAAAATGCCTGCAGATTTTTCTGTGAATTATCCCATTGTATTCAATATTAGAAATACACAAGATTCAAATAAATCAATTTCTTTTTTTAAAATAAGAAAATGATCTTTTTTATGCTTTAAATGCAACAGCATTCCTTTCATGTACGCTTGAGTATTTGTAGCAAAGGAAGTTTAAAAAAAACCCACTTTTAATAATGTGAAAAGTTCACCTAATATTACTACAGTACATGACTAATCTGGTGATAATATTTTTAATAAATTGATTAATAACTTTACAGCTAAAGGTGATTGATGGTAGATTTATTACAGGGTTTGAACCAGGTGAATGTAAAGCTTGAGGAGTTCGTGGTAGAACAGATTTATGGACAAAGAAATATGTTTTTGTACAGCTCTGGTTTAATTACTGCTCTGAATATGTTTTACCTTTTTTAAATCTGTACACTCCAGTTATTGACTAATCGATTACTAAATTAGTTGAGGATTATATCAATAATCTTATTAATCACGATTAATACGATTAATCATTTCAGCCCTAGAGGGTAGTTGTAATGTGACAAAATGTGTGTGTGTGTGTGTGTGTGTGTGTGTGTGTGTATATATATATATATATATATATATATATATATATATATAGTACTTTTAGCTTGATGCAGCGGCAGCACCAGACTTTTCTGTCTCAGTTTTGTAGCTTCAGGTTTAGACGTTCCCATCTTTTATCTGACATTTAACACACAGATGCTCTGACATCTGCTTCTCCTGCAGCACTACCCGCTGTACAGAGTGAGCGACGCCAGCTGCACGGGGCAGGACGCCGCGCCGCCTGAGGAGCGCCACCTGCTGTTCAGAGAGAAGTACGACGTGTTGTCAAAGGAGGCCTCCCAGCGGGTGAGTCTTCTGCAGTATTAGCGTTGAGGTGATGAAAGCGGTGATGTAAGGAAGCAGCTCCTAAGGTGAATTTGGGTCGTTTCTTCTTTTCCCTCCTCAGCTGCTGCAGTGGTTTAAGCCGCGGCTCATCCTGAGCGGACACACCCACAGCGGATGTGAGGTTCTCCATGACAACAAGTACCCAGAAATCAGCGTGCCGTCTTTCAGCTGGAGGAACAGGAATAACCCCAGCTTCATCCTGGTGAGTGGGAACACAGAGACGCTCTGCGCAGAGACAGATTATTTCATTTTTAGCTGTTTTTTCACCTTCAGGTTACCCCAAGTTTGTTACAGTAGTTTTTTTCACTGAACTTTTCAGTTTTGAAACCTGAAAGTGTGCTGGGATTTGTAAAAATCTACTCAATGAAGAGTGTAATGACAAAACAAATCCAGTATCATTTTACTCGTTTATGACTTGGTTTGTCCAGCTACTTAACATGCGGTTCTATTTACTGTTCAGTTCAGTGAGTTTCATTGGGATTTTATACAAAGTCTTGTATTAAAAAACTGAAAAATCACAAAATCTGTACCAGGTATTTTTTCCCAGTTTCTAGTGCAAATAAATTAGTACACTTGGAAAAAAAACCCATAAAAGTAACAGTAACTTTTCACCAAGATATAGCAGCTGGTTTTAATTTAATAATTCCTTAATATTGGCCTAAAAGGGGCAGCTTATTTAACTTATAATGTGTGAAAAATGTCTTTTTATAAGTGAAATAATCTGGCAGTGTTACTAGCAGTAGTACTTTTCTCTACGATGTGGGAAAAGATGGCAAATTTAGGTGAATTTAGTTTAAGTTTTCAACACTTTTATTTTAGTTATTTACTTAAAATAACCTCTGAAAAGTTACTTTTATGTTAGTTTTGCCTTATTTCAAGTATCCAAAGATATTTGCACCAGAAACTAGACCAAGTATACCTGGTAAGATTCTGTGTTTTTCCATTTAAAGTTAAAAATCTGAAAACGGGGCTTTTATTTCTATCCAGCCTCTTTGTTTTTGTTGAACCACCTGCTGCTGCTGCTGTTCCTATGAGAAAAGTCCTTTTTCCCAAACAGCTCCAGCTCAGTCGGATTGGATGGAGAGCATCTGTGGAAATCAGGTTTTTAAAGTTTTGACAGATTTCCAATTGAACTTTGACTGGGCCACTCTTAACTCCGGCTCACCGTATCTTTTTATGTGGCCCTCCAGACTCCAGGTTATATTAATCAGTCACTCAAGCTTTTCATGATTCTGCGATTGTGAAGATGCACACAAAATCAACAAATCCCAGAGTTATAGTTGGGAAATTTCCTTAATAACAAAACAGTTAAAAAAAGAAAATGCAAGTAGAAAAAATGAAGGGCATCAGAAAGAGGAAAACAATCTTACATTACTTTAGTTTTATTCCTAATAAATAACTGAGTTTATAGCAACATTTTCACATAAATGGTCAAAAATATTGGGCTTAAGTGACGCTAACCCCCACCTGCAGATGGCAGTATTTCTTATTTTTAGACACTGCTGCCTCAGCCTTACTTGATGTCAAGTTATAGTCTGTGATTGACATTTACCATCAGAAATGAGCACAAAATTCTTTGTAAATATTTCTAAATTAAATGCCACAAAATCAGATTTTCATTGTAAAAAAATCTCAAAAACTATCAAGCAACCTTGTGGGACTGATCAAAGTGAAAAGATTATTTTAAGAAGTACTTATTGAATGTTTATTCATATTTTAATGGTTGTTTGAAGGGTTTTATCGGTACATTCTGGCACAGCCGACCCTTTGAGGGCGTTGATGACGTTCATGTGGCCCAGAGTGAGTCGGGTTTCCTCGATGCTCTAAACCTGCGTTCTGCCTCTGGCTGTATGTTCAGGGTCGCCGCGCCGCTGGAAGGCCGACCTCCTGTCTCAGCTCTTTTCCAGACCCTTTCTCCCAGGAAGCGCCCCGTTTTTAGCTCCATCCATCCTCCCATCAACTCTGAACTGCTTCCCTTGTTCCTGCTGGAGAAAACCATCCCCACAGCATGATGCTGCCATCACCATGTCTCACGGTGTGAATGCTGTTTGTTCACTAATGTGGTCCATACACCTGTTCATCCATCCATCCATCCATCCATCCATCCAGCCATCCATCCATCCATCCATCCATCCATCCAGCCATCCATCCATCCATCCATCCATCTATTAGGGCTGAAACGATTAATCGTCATGAATCAATTATTCAAATAATCGGTTAATCGTTAACTGAAAAATACCAGTTTATTTTCTTATTTAAAAAGGAATTTTTTCTTTATATGTGTGTCTTTATGCATTTCTAATATTGTACAAATGTGCCATTTTTAAAAAAAATCTGATTGATCGATTAATCATCAAACGATAGAATAATCAATTACTGTGAAATGCCTGATTGGTATTTGAGGTTAAAGGTCACCAAACATTCGCAGGTGCGTTCAACAGGTATCCATGAGGAATGACTTCACAGCCAAAACAAGAGAATAAATAATAATTTTGCTTTTTTTATTGTAAAATGCTGAATCATGTTTTAATATTCTAAAATAATTGAATTAGTTTAGTTTGTTTTGTGAACTTTTGTGATGTTTTCTTGTATAAAAATCATTTGATGTTTCTTTTTTAATCTGTTTGCATTTTTCTGTTTAATTTTCTAACCTTATTTTTCTTATTTATTCAAGAATTGATATCAGTTTTACTTCTTTTTCTCTCACAAAAAATGCTGCAGCTGCTAGCTTCCGGGCGCCCTCTAGTGGCAAACGTGGAGAACTTACAGGCGGCTAACATCTCTCTCCCTCCCCAGGCGTCGGTGTCGCCCGGCGGTCACTCCCTGTCCAAATGTTTCCTCCCGGAGGAGAGCACGGTGATCGGGGTGTATTGCTCGGCCGGAGCCGGGCTGCTGCTGCTGCTGCTGGCGCACTGTCTGTGGATGAAGGGGCTGCTGCAGCTCAGCCTCTGCCTGCTGGGGAAGCACAAGTCTCTGTGAACTACGTTACCCAGAGTGCACCTCGCCTGGTAACATACCCGGGTGTCCGTCCGCACAGCCTCTGTTTGTTGAATCATGTGAAGGATACAAGTATATTTATATCTATATAAATGTGTAAATCAGTGCTGGCATTGATGATGATAATCGGTTTTAAAGTCGGACATTTGTCGGGCTGGACATGTAAATAAACGCTGCTGTGAGTTGGAGCTGCCAATCATGATTTATTTCATTTTAATTATTTTATTTTTAAAATCTGTTCTTGATGTCAGACCATCCGTCACCGCTGCTCGTTGTTTTTTATGATCTGTATGTATTTAATCAAGACTTTCTGTGCCAAATTGTTGACAAGTTTCTGATGAGATGTTCTTAATAAAGAGTTTTCTGGTGGAAAAAACGAAGCAGAGAACAAGAAAACTGTCTATCAGCAATTATCTTTGCAGAAGCTTTTTGGTTTAATTTCTAAAGATGTTATTGCTTATTTTTCCCCAACATTTATTTCGTAAAACCTGTAGTAATGTGATGATGCGTTCAAGTTACCTCGGAAGTCAGAACTTTCTGTTAACCAGTGATGGGCACAGCTAGCAAAAAAGTTAGTGAAGCTAAATGTTGAAGCGTTACAACAACATAGCCTATTTAGCAGAAGCTAATGCTAAGGTGCTAACTTCAAAGCATATATGCAATTGAAAAGCTACAACATTTAAGCACAGATTTAATGTTGAAATAATTTACATATCTAATGCCATTGTTTTTTTTCTGTTTTTAATATTTTGTTCTCTTATTTCAATAAAGTTACTGGGGAAAAATAGATATGAGCGTGGAACTGTTGAGTAAACGGTCATCACCCACTTCAAAATAAAAGCATGAAAATAAACATCTTAACTTCTTGAAGAATTGTTAGACAATTGATAACCAAAACGTTAACCCTTTATTAAACTGAACGTTTTCTAAACAGCTAAATAAATGAGTATTTTATAATTTAGAAAGCTAGCTGCGCTAGCAATAGCGCATTAGCATAATTGTGCCCACCACTGCTGCTGCTGCCAACCAACTCAAGGCTAAAACTCTTAAAATAGTTAAAAACACAGTTGGTTGCAGTATTTCCTGATTTAAAAAACGCTTCCCCTAACAATCCCAAAGTTACCAAGCCTTTCTGCTGCCTTAGAAACATTAAAAAAAGAAGAGGAAAAAACAAAACGGACACAGCTGGACACCAGGGTGGAAATAAAGCAAAGTCCTCTAATGTGCCTCTTTATTTAAAGAAAATAAAAACGTCATTTAATCATCCTCCCAAGGCCCAAACAAGGCTTTTCGCACCTCCAGTCAGTTCACTCTCTTTCGGGGATAGACGTGTACGGTAGCAGAAGAAAAAAAGGCTGATGCTGTTTGTACAAGGAAAAGAGCTCGTCTTGTTGGGTGCTGCTCACACATTCATAGTGCCTGTGCCATTAAAGTATGGCTCCAAAGGACCAAAGAATTACTAATATTGCACGCTCTCATTTATTCATCTTCATCCTAAACATGCTTTCCTATGTGTGTATGTATACATATTTACCGTATACATACATAGGTATGTACACCTAGGCACACACATAATTAAACATGTATAATTGTACATATATATTTATATAGACCTATAAATTTACATGTACATACATTTATAAAATTTTACACGCACGACACGCACTCGGCCTCGCATACGCACACGATGTGTCTGTGAGTCTATGTTTCTCTTATGTACACATGCGCACAGGCACGCACATCAGCACAGATCTCATACGCTTCATCTCAAAAAACTAAAATAAAAACAAAAAAGTAAGTTGGTTCCTATTAAAACAACACCAGGTTGCAATTTGGACACTTTCAATGGATTTTCCAATGTTTGTTTAAAGCTGTGAAATTCAAAAAATATATTTATATATATTTATATATAAGGAGAAAAAACAAAAGTAAAACTGAAACGAGAAAAAAAGAAAAAAAAAAGGCATGGCGCTGCAACATCTGGTCTTCACTGCAGGTAAGTGGTTAATTTGCATAATGTATACAGGTTTTTAGGATTTTTATTTTTTTTGTCCGTATTTTTTTCTTTTTCTTTTTTCTCCCCCATTTTTTACTAAACAGCATTTCCTTTATTTTTATAAACCAGAAAAAACTAAACTCTACAGAGAAAGTCCCCTACCCGCAGTCTCTTCGCTGCCGATAGAGTTTTTGACATCAAGCTGTACAGCGCAGTCGAAAACATACTTACATCTGAGCTCATTTACAGGTACAGCCATAATCAAGGCACAAAGATCTACAAGTAGATTTGTTTTTCTTTCAATTAAGTTGTACAAAATAATATTACATTTTACAGTCTGTACAGGATAATTCGACCTTGCACAGTGTACAAGTTAACAAAAAAAAACAACAAATACATTTTTTCCCCTCCTGCCCTCCTCCCATTGAGTATCTCTAAGCTAAAAAGGGTGAAAAAAAAAAAAAACAATAAAACAAAACCAGAAAAAGGACGCCGGTTCGAGTCCGTGGAGGCAGCAGGGCTAAGGTGCAGAGAGCTCAGTCGTCATCGCGTTATTTCCTGCCCTCCTTTCCCCTCCTTTTTTATCTCATCTCTCGCTCCACAAGTCTCTCGGCAAGCCAACATCGTGACAGGGCGGGTAATAAATATTATGATGCTACATTGTGTGTATGTTTCCTCTGGAGAAATAAAATAAACAGCAAGAAAAAGAAGGACTTTTAAAGGAAATGGTTCCTCTCTCCGTCAAACGATGGAGGAGGCGGCGGCGGCGGCGAAGTTACGGTGGCGGTTCATTCCTGCCTCTACACTGAGGTCCTGTCGGTGTGTGTGTGTTTTTTCTTTCTTTTCTTTTTTTATTTCCACACTCTTTACCAAAGCAGGTCCCAAAAAAACAATAAACGGGGCAAAAAAAAATCAAAAATAATAAAATCAGGAGGTAGCCCGAGGCTTAGTGGAATGACAAAAATGAAGGCATTGAAAAAAAAGGAAAAAAAAGAAGGAAGGATTCAAAGAAAAATATTCAAGAAGCAGCACGTGACAACTTTGTTCCCCGAACTTCCAATAACATCATCGGATTAAAGGGGATAAATCAAGAAAAAAAGTACAAAAAAGTTGAAAAGATGAAGAGGATTTGACACACTTCAGTAGTACTTCATATTCCTCGACAGGAGGGGGAATCTGAGGGTCTCTGGGGAGTAGAAAGGGTTCGTCAAGGATGCAGAGTGGCAGAGAGGAAACACAGAGGGGCCAACAGAGAGAGAGAGAGACACAGAGAGAGAGAGAGGGACGCGTCTCTGCCGTCCATCACAACAGTTCGTACTGCCGCAGGTGCATTCTCTGGATGATGTCCCGGCAGTCGTTGAACACCCGCCGGATGTTCTCCGTGTCCACGGCGCAGGTGAAGTGCGGGTAGCAGTAATGTCTGCCGTCGCCGCTCGCAGTGCTGATCCGCTGCGGGAGAGACGACAGGAAACCGTCAGGGTTTCAGAATAAAAGCCCTGAGGAAAGTGCTAGGCTGCAAAAACGACTGAAGCAAGAAGTCGAGGAAATTATGCCCAACCCTGACCGCCCTCTTCACGAGACAGAGCGTCTTCAGTCAGAGGCTCCTTCAGATTCACTGCAATACAGACTGCTACAGGAGATCTTTCCTGCCAACAGTCTACAGTAACTCTGAAGAATCTGAATTAATATGAGCTACAACATCATTTAATTTACCTTTGGGATGAATAAAGTATTTTTGAATTTGAATTTAATTTTGGGAAATATGGATTTTTTCCTCTCAAACCAATCCATTCCTTGTGTTTCTACACTGCAAAAAAAACAAAATTTTACCAACTGTTTTTGTCGGGTTTCTAATTAAATATCTTATTGCGCTTGAAATAAGACAAAATTAACAAGAAAGAAATAGGAGGAGCTTGTTTAAAGTCAATAATTCCTCAATAATCATGAAAAAGTACTGGTTCCACTGGAAGATTATTTAACTTTTAAAGTGGGGAAAATGTCTTGTTATATAAGTGAAATAATCTGAAAACTTGAAAAATGAGACTGAAGTGGCTATTTTTTATATAAAGTCTGAGAATATTCCTGTGATAAAACGGTCTAGTCAAAGTTTTCCTTCCAGTCTGAGGCACTGCTGCTTTGCAAAGAAAAATGGGTATAATCTCTAATCCCAAATTATTTAGTCTTATTTTGCATCACATAAAATCCCAAAGCAATATTTAATTATACAGTTGTAACAAAACCTGGGAAATATTTGCAAAGCACCGTTAATAGAACATTTCCCAGCAATTAACTGGTTAAAAACACACCTGGAGAGATTTATAATTTCTCTTTCATTTTAACCAACTTCTTCTCTGAAGATTCAATACCATTATGACCAAAACAAATGTAGAAATTCTGTTTTTAGATCCGCCGTTGTCTAAATATAGCGACAGTCACCACGAACGCGGTTAACATGAGTCAGGCAGTGACCAAACAAGCATTTTTAGACCAGCGTTAGTCATCATTAAGATGCAGTCGTCTTATTTTAATATGAAACACGCTGAGGCATTGAACAAACCACAAAGGGACAAAATGGAAACCCTGCTTTGGCAGACGCCAAAAATAGAACCGCTCTTTCATAAAGAAATGCCCACTATTCCCACCAAGGTTCTTAGAAAACAACCCAGATAATGATGCTATCCGGGTCTCAGAGATTAGCCGGAGCCATGGAAACTCTGTCAACATCTACATTATTTAGAGAAAACCTATTTCTGTTGGGCTAACGCACCTGTGGGTCGTTACCCCGACAATCAGGCGGCTAAATTCAGGCGTCGTACTTACAAGGAACTCGTCTCGGATGAAGAATTTGGCTCGTGTCACTCTGGGGTCTTCGCCTGGTTCAGGAGTTGCTGAAAGGACAACAGAGTCTCCTTTTAAAAACACAACAGGAAACCAGTGTGGCTAAGTGCCTGTTAGCGTCGCGGCGGCGGCGAAGCGAGGCGAGGCGAGCCACTGACCTTCATTTGGTATGGTGTAGCGAGCGTATTCGGGGAAATAGTCCTCAATTTTGGACTTTCCGGCTAATACTTTCTCAGCCAGCATGTCCTGCTTGTTCAGGAATAAAATGACGGATATAGTGCGTAACCATCTGAAAAACAAACAGCAGCAGCTTTCATGTTAAACAGGCTTATTTTACAGTTGAACACCATCCAGGCCTAAGCAATCAATCAATCAACCAATTAAAACAAGATCAATGATTCCCCCTAGCATGATTTGTTTTTCTCTCTTTCTACCAAACACTGGATGATAAAAGTCTTCAGTTTTAGTTCCATTATAATTCAGAGTTTATTGATCTTATATCAGCTGAAAATGGTCACCAAATAATATCATTTAACGCGATAACTTCTGGGACGATTTATCGTCCGGATAATTTTGCTACCGTGGCAGATCTGGCAGCATGATGCTGTGGGATGCACTTCTTCAACAAGTTGGGTTGAAATAAACACAAACCATTATCTGAAGGCTGCAGCCAGAGCTACATGGGTTTGGATTAAAATGTAATATTTATGTGTCAGAGTGGCCTAGTCAAAGTCCAGATCTAAACAGCAATCTGAAACTTTGATCCTCGTTGACGTCTTTCAATAATTGTGCATGTAACCTGGATTTTTGCTGACAGCAGCTCAAGTTATGTGATGATTATGACACTGGTACATTTTTTTTTACAAGCTTTATGTTTTCTTAAATCCTGCAGTAAAAATGTGTGAGCTCTTTCCACCACTGCTGTAGGTAGATTATCTATAACACCAACAATAAAACATTATTCAGCAAGTATGAGGGAGGACTCTGAATTTAAGCACAGATTCACAGACATGTGAAGGTTAAACTATTGAACGTACGGAAGGCTCATCCTGCCAAAATTACCAGTAGCTATAGAAATTAATAAATGGCTTGACAAAGTAGTTAATGTGGCAAATATTGCATAAAAACAAGGTGCAAACTTCCTTGATTTACAAAGTGTCATAAAGTAATACATATTCATAATTGTTAATAGTATTAATGTAACACTATTACTATTCTTTCATTTTCATTTTCCCCAGATCCTATATATATTGCATGATTCTTTCATACTCTATTTATTGTGACATTTCATTTAATCATTTTCTCTGTTTTCCATATTTATTTTTTATTTACTGTGATTTTTTTAAACCATACACTGATTTATTTTCCTCTTTCCATATTCTTCCCTTCAGTTTTAAATTAATACTTTTTTTAAACATTTCTCATCATTGTGCTATTTTTATTATTTAAATGGAGGAAGAAAATCTAATATCAAAAATGAGAATCACCCCAAAAGATAAAAAATAAAATAAAATTTAAGAATGGCAGCACATTTTGGAGTTTGGTTAGACTGATAATCAGTATGGGCCTTAGCAGTCTGTAACTCAGACAATGACTGAGTGGTGCTAAGGGCAGAGTAAGGAGCTGCTGTCTCCCAGTCGGGTCTCACCTGTTATTCCAAATACTGCGGAAAAGGTCCAGTGCTTCCCGTAGCCTGTTGGTGTTGTTGTCTTCCCTTATTACCATGTTGTAGCTGCTGCTGGCCACCACGAAGATGATAGCAGTGACGTCTGGAGGAACAGCACAGACTCAGAGTCAGGACACATTTAACCTCTGGTTTTACTGCTATTAGCAACGTTTAACTGATGTTTAACTGATGTTTAACTAATGTTTAATTGATGTTAAACAGCTGGAGGTCTCACCGTTAAAGCACTGGATCCATTTTCTCCTTTCATCTCTCTGACCGCCGACATCAAACATGCTGTGGTACGGAAACAAACAGCAGGTCAGAGCGAGACAGCAACGCGACAGATAGACAGACAGACAGAGAGAGAGACAGAGAGACAGACAGACAGACGTTCCGAAAATAGAAAAAAATTCTAAATGTTCGGTTCAGTAGGTCAATTAATGATTCAGTTCATTTCAGACATTCAGTTCAGATATTTAGTTCAGTTCAATTGTTCAGTTCAGGTCAGTTCAGTTCAGTCCAGTGATTCAGTTCAGTCCAGTGATTCAGTTCAGTTCAGTGATTCAGTTCAGTCCAGTCGTCCCCGGCTCTGTTTCCTTCTTGTTGTTTTGTTTTCTCTCTCCTTTGAGGCGGCGTTGATGTTGGAGGGAACAAACTTCTGACATTTCAGGCCCAGAATCACGAGGAAAAGGTAAATATAGTATTGACACCCAGGAGGGCATTCCGATCCGCCATTATTCCTTTTCCCTTTTTGGTGATGCCAAAACGGGACCGGGTCAAAACGCTTCTAAAAGGAGAAAATTACTGGAAAACGCCTCTGGAGGCTCTGCTTTCGGAGCCGGCTGACGGAGTTCTGCAGAGCGGCTGCATAACAGACGACGTAAGAGTGGATGTGGACGTAACAGGAACAATGCGTCCTTTTAGCGGCCGCGAAATATTCGGCTTATAAAATTGACAAAAATAAGCTGGGAGCACAAAATTATGACGATTTCTAAATGTGCTTCTGGTGGTGTGTCATTTCAGCGTTTTCTGATCTCTGTCTAGTTTTAGAGCGGGTTGTACAAACTTTCCTTTTTAAGACTTTGTTTACTTCTTTATTTTTACTTGCTAAATAAACAAAGCAAAAATAATATTTTAATGACAGACAGATTTCTGTAGTTTTTTGTAGATTTGAAGAGAACTGCAGGTTTGCCTGATTAAAAACAACAACAAAAAAAACATATCCTAAAGTTTTCATCTTTTTCTGGATTTTTGTGTATTTTTATTAACAGGGACGGTTTGTGGCGTTGCAATGTCTGCATCTTAGTAAAAGTCACTGGTTGTTTTTGGTCCCAATTACTAATTAATGAAATTAAATGTAAAAGATACACGAATACTTTGTGCTGCACATTATATTTTAAGATTTTAAAATGTTTTTTGTTATCAGCATTAGTGAAACTTTCACCAACAGATTTTAACCACCTGAGGCAGGAAGCCAGTTTTTATACAATTCTTATTTTGTTTTTTCAAGCCAAGGGCCACACAGAACTGTTCCGAGGGCCGCAAGTGGCCCGCGAGCCACACTTTGGTCCGACTTACTGAAAGTTGACTTTGTCTACTTGGAACCTCGTCTCGAAAATTCCTGAAGTTAACACTCGGCAGCGTAGAAGATCCTGCGCACAGAAATGAAGGAGGATTTAAAAATAAAAATAAGAATAAAAACAAGAAGCTGCCTCTTTGGAGCAGATTAGCAGGACTGACCTGGTCTGTGGGCGTGTAGTCGCTCTGTCTTACTGAGTCAATTCTGTCCAAGAAACTGCAAAAAAAAAGGAAAAAAGATAGATTTTTAAACTTTAGATTCACAGAAACAGTAAAATACAGGGTTTGTACACTTTATTCAACGGTAAAAGTCAAGCATTTTTAAGCATCTTCAAGGTAAGTTTTCAAAATGTTCCAGCACTTGAATGAACTAATGAACTACAAAAAGACAGTTACAATTCACTATTATATGTCATTTATTACTATTAATAATGTCTTGTGTTTGTATTCCACGTTCTACATCAGGGACAAAATGAACTAAAATATAACAAAATGTAATGTTTTGAAAGGTTTCTCTCAAGAACAAAACAATAATTTAACAAAAATTCCACAATTCAATAAAGTTTTGTAATCTATGAAATATAAAATGATCAATAAGTCACAGAGCCGTTAGGAATAATAAATATTCATTACATTGAAACAATCCACACAAATATTCCTGCTCAAATTTAATGATTAAACACAAAACAAAAATCTTCTTGCTAAGTTTTCTGGCATTTAGGAAATAGAAATAATTTTGGTAATAATATATGCAGTTTTGCATATTTCAAGCACTTATCAAACATTTAAAACACCTGTTCAATGATTCCCAAGGATTTCAAGCACCTGAATGAACCCTGAGAACCGAACAGGAGGAAACAAACGGACCAGTCCGATCCGGAGGCAGCCGCCATGTCTGACTCCCTGCAGAGGCCCGGGGAGGCCGCTGCTGTTGCAGCTGCGCGCCACTAGAGGGCGGCCGCGCTCAGTCTGGGCTATTTTTGTCTGTCTCTAGCCAGAGTGATTGCATAAGGCGGTTATTGTGGAGGTTAGACAGCTTGCTGCTGCTGCTGCACATGCTCCCTCTGTTGTGAAAGAGACGACGGCAGCAGCAGCAGCAGCAGCACAGCGGGCTCGGAACAACCGGAGCCGGGTCGGGCCTCTGGATGACCCGGATCACCCAGAAATAACTTCCAACAGGGGGCTCCATTACGCTCGCAAAAGTATTCACACCCTACATATCGTTTTCACATATCTTTCTTGATAAAACCTCCTGATTGTCAAGTGTTGCGCTGGGTTTTTAAACTAGAGGTAAAAAGCAGCCATCAGGGCCGGTCCAAACCTGAGCTGATCTTTATTCAGGGCCCCCATACCAACATATCAACACCAGATTCTTTGTCATTCCTTAGCTAACTATTATTAGCATCACTTGTAATTAGCTTGCATCGTAGCAGTGATAATTTAACTATTTTAAAGAAACATCAACTGATTAACAATAATTTTGATGTCTTGTATTTTTTCAAAAGCAGAAATCTTCATTTAATTTTACATATATATTATTTTTTTATAAAGAGTGTAACATGAGACACTTGAGAGAGGGGGGTCAGGGTCAAATAAGTTAGTACTTCTACTTCTCTCCTTTACTTCATCTTATTTGAGTTATGAATATTTTTTAAATAAATAAACTAACCTAAAAAAGAAAATCGTAACGAAAGCTATTTTTCCTTCCCATCAACTCAGAGGAGGTGGAGGATGTTTCAGACAGGAAGCTGCATTCAGCTGACGGCGGTGACTTCCTTCAGCAGCACTGACCCAGATGTGGGCCAAACCGGGTCATCTCCTCACCATCTTTGATTTTCTAACCAACCCATCTGCAGTTTCAGGATGTCACCAGCCAGACGGCGCGGCTGCAGCACACAGGAAACGCGACGCGCGTGCTCCTCTACAGGTCTCTTCGTTTTCACTTCAGGCGCCTGAAAGCGGCACACCAACACGCCCAGCGAGGATTAAATAACCCAGAATGAATAGTGCATTATGAGCCATTAGATAACAGCAACGTCGCTCATGTGCTCTGACAGCGACGTTTTCATCACGCCGACTATTTCTGCTGCAGACGAAAGGAGAAGTAGGACTATTTCTGAAAGGGCAACAAAACTTTCTCACACAAAGTGCCGCATGACTAAAAGTTGTAAAAAAAAAAAAAGAAAAGAAAAAAAAAGAAAAGATGCAAAAAGGGCGGAAAAAAGACGACAGCACTTAAAACTAACAGGTTGGGTAATTTACAACTTGCAACAAACAGGGAGTTTACATGTAAAGTTTAATATACAACACTAATTACACAACATTATTATATCTAAACCATGGAGCTTTTGTGATAAATATTACTGGATGATAACTTTTTAATGATTTGGGAGCAAAAGTCAGATTTTATTGTGTTTTTTCTGCAATCATAATATTGTAACATATTTGGTTAAATATTATTTAGTTGCATCTTAATCACTGGTTGGATATTTAGCATCTTTCTATGGAAGTTTTGGTGGAGTTAATTTAAATTAGTTCATTTCCTGGAACAGATTCAGCTTTGAAGAATCGTCCACAAACTTTTAATAGATGCTAACTTTAATGTTAGCCTGTTTAATCAAGTTAAACTGGTTTTTCTAACCTGATGGTGGCAGCATTTTAGTTCCTTTTGGAGATTTTTCATAATTTGTTTGGTGGAAACTTTGCACGTTTGGGCAATTATTCCCTCAGGTTTTAGATGGAAATCTAAAACCTTTAGCTAATAATTAGCATCTCAAAAGCTCAAATAATAGCTGAACTACAGCCCAAGATAGGGAGGGAGTAATGGGCGAGCTGGCAGGAAAACCGTCCCACAGCATAATGCTGCCATGCTTGACGGTTTCAAATTCATTCAATCCCCTTTCAGATTTAAATTTAACATTAATTCATCCAAGAAAGTTTGTTTCTGACAGGAAAAGAGGCAGGCAAACGTATTAAAACGATGTAAAACGAGGCTCAATTTAGGATTTCTAATTGAAAAAAAAACAACATATTAGGAAACATCCGTTTCCCAATAAACAGCAGACGGAGCAGCGCTCTAAAAATTATCTCAACTATGTATTTTTGCAGATTTCCTGCTCATTTTTACTAAGAAAATCAATAGATAATCTCAGACCACTGCTCTGAAGGTAAATTTGTGTTTCTGAGAGCAAAAATGTTGGAATGCAGTAAAAGAATAATAAAAAAAAGACAAAGCATTAAACAGTACTGATTTGTTTCATCTGTTCGTTAGCTAAATAAGCCCTGCATTAGGAGAAGTATATATTTTTAAAAGTTCTGAGTAGTGACTGCTGCTGGTGATTTCACAGATAAACAGCAGATATTCAGACTCTCATTATGCAAGATGGATAAGGTGGAAAAACCGGAATAGCAGATTACAAACAGATTAATTTTCTGCTTCAAAGCTGAAAAAAAAAAATCCGTCTTAAATTATGCTGAAAATGACAAAAACAAAAACCAAACAAGGTGATTTTTTTAACTCATTCTTGTGTCACAAACACAATTAATCCAATAGTAGTACGTCTGATTACCAGTTAGTACCATAAGTAGCACTGCACACACAAACCAACTCCTCCTTCCCCCCAAAAATAAAAAAGCCCAAACACATTCAGTCTAAAAAAAACAGCACATATGTGTTTAGTATTTTTAGTCTTCCTTGCAGAAACATAGCTAGGTTATAATTACAGAGTGCTTTGTGACTGCCATGTGACAGCAGTACTAGATATCCAAATATAATCTCCAAAAAAAGAAAAAGAAAACGGAGGAAGAGATCCATAAAAAAACAACGAAAAGCAGAAAAGTTAGCGTTGGTGAATGTAATTCCTAATCCAAGTGTTAGGGCGCAGCTTTTATTTAACTGGACGCAGGAATAGCCGAGTCCGTCTTTTTTAAGGTTCTGCCGTTTTCCTCAGTCTCCTCCCAGCTCTGGTTCAGCGCTGGCATTCCCAGATCGCTGTGATGCGGCCGCTTTGTCAAGGCTGCAGACTGAAACAGGCCGCAGCTTCCCTTTGTTTTAATGTGTGCAGCTCACACAGCAAAGTACGCTGTAGTACATACACACACAGCAAAGTACGCTGTAGTACATACACACACAGCAAAGTACGCTGTAGTACATACACACACAGCAAAGTACGCTGTAGTACATACACACACAGCAAAGTACGCTGTAGTACATACACACAGCAAAGTACGCTGTAGTACATACACACACAGCAAAGTACGCTGTAGTACATACACACACAGCAAAGTACGCTGTAGTACATACACACACAGCGCCGATAAACCAGCTGTTAATTCTCGTCCATCCTGTAGATGCTCATGTCTTACAGACAGATCCGTTCTGAACTTTAGATGTAAAGCTAATGATCGCTCTGTTGTGCTTTACAGTCGCCGCCGTTGGCTCTGCGCTGCAAAAACACAAAATCTTATCAAGTATTTTTGGTCTACCTTCCAGTGTACATATCTCAGTACACTTAACCCTTCCAGACCGAACGGGCCGGCGACGATCCGGCCAGATTTCCAGTACCGTAACTCCACCAGACTTTGTGCTATCTGAAAAATTAAAACGGTTTCTGAAAGGGGAGATGTTGCGCTTTCCAGCCAACATCATGTAATTACGGTAATTTCACCTTGCCGAAGCAGGGAGTGAAATTAATCTGATCAGACACTCTTTCAACAGACGGCAAATTGCAAAAATAAAAAGTTTCAGTTGTTATGGATAAATGGGCAAATACATTTACTCACAGGACATTTAAAGAACCGCAAACAATTAAAATCAGCAAAAATATCCAGGATGAGATTTGAAACAGATATTAAAGGGTTAAAATGAGACAAAAACTAACTTACAACAAGATATAGGAGCTTGCTTTACCTCAATAATTCCTTAATATTGACGAAGTTCTGGTTCCACAAGCAGATTATTTCACTTATAAAATGAATTTTTACTTAACTAATATGCCAGTGGAACTAGAGCATTTTCATCATTACTAAAGAATAATTTACTTAAAACCTGAAAAGTTTCTCGTAAGTTAATTTTGCTTTTTTAAAACATACGAAGATATTTGCACTAGAAACTAGACCAAAAACACTCGGTTACATTTTGTGTTTTTGCATAAGGTTTATGCAAAAAACTGGCTAAAAACACTTGGATTACATTTGAAAAGTCCAACAATCCACAAA